GTGGTAGATGTGGTTTTAAACCCTGGTCTCCTAATATAGGGCTTTAGCTCTTATCTCAGGGCACTTCAGAATCTAGCACGTGAGCTCCGACTGCCCTGACCTAGGGTTCAGTAGCCCCAAGTTTCCCTTTCCTGCAGTGCCTCTCTAGCGTAGATCAACAGCGAAGGAGGAAAGGAAAGATGTAAGAAGCAGTAGAGAAGAAAGAAAGCCAGGTAAGGAAATATACATGCAGTATCTTGAAGAGAAACTTTCCTATGGCATACCATAATCCTCCTTGTAATTGTCGTTTATGCCAATACACACGAAAAAGGAAGTGCTATCATGAACAAATCCTTATTGGAGGAAGTCCTACCTGCTGCTGGGCAGAGTTGGGTATTATTATCTCTATCTAAGAGTTGAGGAAACTGAGGCTCAAAGGTGTTAAGTCAAATGTTCATTCCACCACCCTAAGTTGGTTTGTGTCTCAATATACAAATCACATGTATTTTTATTATTCCTATTTTTTTTTGTTTATTCATTAATTATTCAATAATTATCTTGATTATTTATATCCTAATTTCTTTGGGTTTACTTTGTTTTTTTTTTTTTCTTTGCTTTTAAAATAGAATGCTTCAGGTTCTTTAAAAAATCTTTGTTTTCTAATAAATGCACTTAGGTTATGAATTTTCATCTAAGTGTCACTTTTATTGCGTCCATGGGTTTTGATTCTTTCCATTGTGTATGATAGTATCAAAATCCATTTCATTAATATTTACATTATTATTCAGCTCTAAATATTTTATAATTGTCATTAGGTTTCCTCTTTAATCCATGGGTTATTTGGAAGTATGATTTTTTTACGTTCCAAAAATAGTATCTATGTTTTGAATGGATAATATGTACACATGGCACAAAATTAAAGAGGTACAAAAAAGTATACATTGAAAAGTCTCTCAAAACTACATCTGTATGATTCCATTATGTGACATAACAGAAAAGGCAAAACTATAGGGAGAAAGAATAGATCAGTGGTTGTCAGGGGCTGAGGGTAGGGGGAGGGGTTGGCTCTAAAGGGACAAGAGAAAATTCAGGGGGGTGATGGAACTGTTTTATACCTGTATGGTGGTGATTGTTACTTGGCTGTATGCATTTGTCAAAATTTGGAGAAATGTATACTAAAAAAGGGTAAATGGCACTGTATGTAAATTATACCTTAATTAAAAAAAATTAAGCCATCTCCCGTTTGCACCAGGAATACTCACCAGTGGTGCTTGTAGCTGTAGCATTTATCCCTAGATAATTCGCACATTACAGTCCTAACCTAACCCCCAAAGTGTGCCATACATCTCTCATGCTTTTCAGAGAATTACGTCAAAATAGATCTGGTGCAGTTGAGACAGCTCGTTTGAACAGAAAACAGATGCCACATGATCTGAAAGAATTGCAAAGGGAAAAACTGCAGTTAGAATCTGTGGTGAACTTAAGGCACTGAAGTGATGTGACAAGAAGGTGACAATGGTTGTCAACATTCCACAATGATACTGCGATTGAAGTAGACAACAGAAATGGAAAGAAAACTAAGAAGCATGTGTTACTGTGGATTATAATGAGAATATGGGAGCACTGGACTCAGCTGATCAGATGCTCACTTCTTAGCCAACTGAGCACAAAAGGCACAAGTTTTGGTATAAGAAATTTTTTCACCACCTTCTAAACATTACAGTGCTGAACTCCTACATCCTGTTCAGGAAAGACAATCCTGAGCACACGAACAGCTATGTAAACTTTAGACTAAAGTTGATTGAAAGAATGCTGGAAAAGCATCACAAGCCAGGGCAGCAAGGTACTCGAGGTTGTTCAAGCTCTGATATCACACCTCTTCACCTGTTTGGAAGACATGTCCCAAGAACATACCACCAACATCAAGGAAACAGAATCCAACTGGTCACTGCAAAGTTTGCTGCTTACATAGCGACAAGGATGGCAAGAAAATCCAGAGAGAAACGCAATATTTTTGTGCGGAATGTGATGTTCTGCTTTGTGTTGTTCTGTGCTTTGAAATTTATCACACCAAAAAAATTATTAAATACTGATCACCATATACATTTCTGTTACATTAGGATTAGAGACAAGACCTATTTAGAAATAACTCCAAGAACAGTTTTTATATTTTATTTTCACATTGAAAACCAGTCAGATTTGCCTCAGCCCCAAAGAGCGTGTTTATGTAAAATTAAAGTAATGTTGGCAGTGAGCTGCAATTTTTTTTTTTCTAAACAAGAAATGGGTTAAAGTCTCCCTTTCTTCTCCAGAACTCTAATGGCAGTTTTCCCATTCATCTCCAATGTGCAGTCATGTTTTTTCTCCCCGTACTGGAACAACCTCTGAGTTACAAGGAAAATTCTAACACTATCTAATTTTTAAAAGTCAATTTGCAGAACAATATTTTACACGAGGACATATCCTTCACAAATCTCCATATTCTCAAGTGATTAACTGGAAATAAATGATTTTGAACGCACATATCCCTATACCAGAGAGCTCCTGTAGCTGTTAGAATCTACTAGCATTGTCTGGAAAGCTTAGGGACTCCAATAAAGTTCAGTACCCACATTTCTAGGTCACTGCTTGAATCCAGCTAAAAAATCAAGTTGGCATTGCTTAAATCCTGGACATCATCAGCTCTGCTGTGACATCACCTAAGTTAGAGTTAAGCAGTCATAGGAGAAGTTTACTAAAATGGCATGATTATAATTATCCATAGCCAAACCAAAGCAATCTTCTTGCCATTAATGTTGCAGGGTTGTGATAGGATTAAACAGGAATGGGTGAGACACATAATAATAATTATCCCTCCTTAAGTCTGTATACAGCAGCAGATATGGCAAAAGAAGGCCCTACTACAGGAGGACTAGTTATTAATGGAGTCTTCACCTTAATCCAGAAAGTATTTAAAGATGCCGAGTCCTTGCTTAGCCATTAAGTGCACAAATGTTGATGGAAAAGTGAATATCTTTAAGCTTCAGCTTTCTCATCTATAAAATAGAGGAAATTCCATCTATTTTGCAAATTACTAGAGAGACTAAGGGAGAAGGTAGATAGAGATACCAGCCACAATAACCGCTTCAATAACAACTGTGTTTGTCAAACGAGGGCTGATTCTCCTTCTGTGATGATGAGGATACCCTTTCATCTTAGTCCCTTGAGGGCCTGGAGGACCAAAAGAAAGCATCGAACTATGAATTCCCAGTCAGCATCATATCAACATCACATGAAATAATGGATGGATAAGGACCTTATAAAACACTGTAATGTCATCAATACTTCCCTTACACACCCACATATACCTTTTAACCTGGATAATTCAAACCTGTCCTTCAAAATTCAGCCCAAGTACCAACTCCTCCAGGAAGCTTTCCCACACCGCAGCTGCCTGATGTGAGTTTAATGGCCTTCCTCTGGGCTCCTAGAGCCTCTCACTCTACACCGTGTTTGCCTGTTTGCTTGTCTGTCATCTCCTCTGCTATGGAGGCTAAAGGTCAAAGTATATATCTTTCCTATTTGCTTCTCATGGCAGGTATGGCGCTTGGTGCAGTGTGGGCATGTATAAGTGTTTGTTGACAGATTCTGAGTGATGAAATTTAAGGTGTTATTAAGGCTTATCTCACTGCTTTCACAAGGTCTTTCCTCATCTTTTGACCCAACATAATCTTATTTAATTCAGAACAACCCAGAGTATTTTCTGTCTTCTTCTATCATGGAATTTGTAGCAAGTCACCTCACTCTCTGGCCTGATGACAGCAACAATACCCACTCTGAAGCTATGAGGAGACTTTGAAGGGATTGAGGAAGAGAAGCTACCAGGGAGAAAGGCTTCAACTTTTGTTTCGTTTTCTCTACCTATCCTTTTTTTTTTGTGGCACCAGGGACACATTTAGAGATGAGTTAGGATTAACCCTCAGCCATGCATTCATTTCCTTCCCTCCTCTGGAATGACTGACTCTCTGCAGGGTTGACTTCTCTTCTGTGGAAGTCATTTGATCCTTCCCACTGGCTTCCTGTGGGTGACATATACCTTGGTGATTTCCCAGAGTCTTCTAGAAAGTGGTCCTCAAGTCTCATTACTCACTGAGATCACTGGAGAACATTCAATGACACATCTCTGCAGCCTCACTCCATAGATTCTGATTTTATCAATGTGCCATGGGACTTGTGCATGCTCCAACTTACACAGGTCATGGCTGGGACCCCTTTAGAAATGTGAACTAAATGGTCCCCAGGAAGCCTCTAGACTATAACCCTATAACCCTATATGTTTAAGCATGTAGCTCCCCAGACATGTAGAATCTTAGAAGTTGATGCTGAAATGGCTATTAGAAGTCAACTGGCCCAGCCCTCTAATTCTCAGATTGGGAAACTGAAGCCCAGAAAAGATATGTTATGTGGCAAGACCAGGACTTGAACCTGGGTCTCCAAACCCAGTTTAGTGCTTCTTCCATTAACCCAGGCTGCCATGTGGGATAGTGCATAGCTCTCTGCACCAGGGGATTGGGTGGGGAGGTTCTTAACACTACTTTCAAATGAACTACTAAGGCTCAGAACAAGTCTACACTAACCACTGCAGAAGCCTACACCTCCCATGGGCTTTGGCCAAAGCTGTTCATGGCTGTTGTCCAGACACTCATCAACAGAAAAATTCCGAAATCACTGAAATTAGAAAGGGATGGGTTTGAACACTAACTCTACCAATCATGAGCTGACTGACCTTGAATAAATCACTTCTGTGAGCTCCAGTTCTCTCATCTGGGCAATGAATAGTTGGTGACACAGCGATGACAATGCTGCCCAAAATAAAACGTGAGAGTCAGGCTGGTGTCCTCTGACGCCCCTCACGGCCCAGCAGTCATCAAGTCCTGGTGATTAATAAACCAATTTCATTCATTCCCTCATTTCTCTCCAGCCCCACCCCGGATGGACACACACACACACACACACACACACACACACACACACACACACAATTTGAGTTTAGGCTTTTATTCTTGTTGCAGTGGATTTCCGCCATAGTCCCCTAACTGATTGCTCTGTTTCTAGTTCCTACTCCTCCTGTGCACCCTCCTCACCAAAGCTGAGTCTTCTTTAGAAGGGATATCTGAAGCTATCATCCCATCACTTAAAACCTTTCCACCCATCTTGGGATAAATCCAAACCTCTTACCTTGCCTTCCAGGGTCTGGTGTCTGCCTACCCCTCTGGCCTTACTTCTCATCTTCCCCGATCCATCTGTTCCCATCCTTATATCCGAAGCCCGGTCACTCCAGGTCCCTTCAGTTCCTGCGGGAAGCCCTCGCTGACTTCCCCAAGTCTGAATTAGGACCCATCCAAGTGCTCCCAGGACTCTGAAATTCTATAATACCCACAGAATGCATCATAACTGGCCCTTTATTTGACTCTGCCCTGCACAAGTGCCATAGGCAGAGACCACCTCCATCTTCATCTTCGTTGCATCCACAGTGACAAGGACTATGCTGGGCAATAGGGTAGGTACTTCTTCTTCTTTTTTTTTTTTGATCTGTAAAATGATATGATAGTGATTTAACAGGATTGTCACCCAGAGTAAATGAGAAAACACATGCACAGACCTGCACAATGTCTGACACTCAGCAGTGATCAATAATCAGGTTTTCCCCATCCCTGTATCCTTTCCAGTTTTTATAGCTCATGTTCTGAGTTCTAGTCCAAGTTTTGCTTCTAACCAGTTCCTCGGTTTCTCTGGTTCTCTGTTTCCTTTCTATGAATTTGACTATATGGCCCTCATCAGCTAAAACAAACAACCACAGGGGCAGTAACAACAACAACAACAAAATAACACCAAAACCCCCTAAATTCTAAGAGTCCGTGAACTCTTTTCCCTTCCTTCTTCCCGGCTCATTTCCTCTCCCCTAAGAATCAGGAATCAGGAAGGACACAATCTATAGCTCCTCACCAGCCTATTCTATACATATTTCAGGGACAATTTATCAGGCTGTTAGAAAATATTTTATTTTCTCAAGTCCAGAGAAATTCCTTCTGGGGTCAGGTCTGCTTCCTTAATAGGCATAAAATGTATAACTCCTGGATCTTGGCATACGATAGCCCTGGGGACTGTAAGTATCTCTTTGTTCCAAGGCTGAGTCCTGCCTGAGTGATGACAGGCCAAGTTTCCCCCACACCCTGTACCTCGCCACTATGCAGTCATCCTGAGTGCCGCCAAGAGGGTGAGGGGTGGAAAGTGGGCAGGGCAGCACCGACTGCAAGGGAAGCTGAAGAAAGATGCTTGCACACACCCTTGCAGCTACTGTCACGCTACTGTGGCTGCCAACAAGTCACCTGGAACCTTTGGGCAAGAAGCAGGAGGAAGAAGGAGGCAAGAGAGGTGCTTAGCTTCTTGCCCTGTCCTTGGCATACTTATTCTTCCAGTTAACCTTCGTTCATCTGCCTCAGCTTATCTAAGAGTTCCAAGGCTCTCTTCTACAGTCCTGCCTTCATGGTAGCTGTTGAGTCTCCACCGGACCACAAGCTGGTGCAGAAGCAGGAGAGAGTCTAGCTGCCTACTCCGGGCTGACAGGGACCTGCAGCGCGGCTTTCACGTTCCTGGGCATCCTACCTAGGAAAGTCCATTCTGGGGTCTCTTCTTTTGTCTACAACGACTCTGGAACCCGCGAGTCCATCCTCAAAAGTGCAGGAGTCACTACTCCAAAATAAAGATATCTATCAATTCTGGGTGAACATGCCTGCTAATTGCTTCATGGAATGCACAGTCCCTGAGCTCCTTTCTCTTTAGAATTTTACCGAGCAACTGATTATGGAAGCCTCTTTCCTACCATCCCCAACTAAAAGAAACAAGCCAACCCAGGAGTTTACTACCTAGCACAGGAAACAAGACAGATATACAAATAGTCCAAGAGAGAACTGGGTAAATGCTACAATCCAACCCAGGGCAGATATCATGGGAAAAGATTGATTCTGGCTGGAAAGAACAGAAAGGTTTTACACAAGAGACCACATCTGAGCTAGACCCTAAAAGGAGAGTTGAATTTTTATGAACAAAGACTTTCTCACTGGCTCTGTTGAGGAAAGCTGGGTTTACTTGACTTGGGAAAAACTCTTTGGGTTCCAGTAAACTGTGTTCCTAGTCTCAACTACTATTTTGGATACTTGAGTAAAAGGATTGCTGTGCTGCGTGACATTAGACAGTCACCTTATCTCTCTGGGCTTCAGTTTTCTCCTCTTTGAGTTGTGTGCCCAGCGGCTCTTTTCCTACCTTTTGTCCTCCTGAGAGGCAGAAACCCAGCATATGGCTGGAGATACACTATGTGCACCACAAAGTTATTCTAAATAGAATTTATCATTGGAATGTTAAGTTCCTCTAGGATTAACATTTCGTCATCTCCCAGGTCTCCAATACATTCAAAAAAGGAAATAAATAAGCTGTGGATTTCTACCTGGAAAAAGTTAGTTAAAAAATCACTACTACATTATCATATTGGAGAAAATTACTATTTTTAAACCAGATCAGAAAGGCAGACAACCCAAAAGAGAAACAGGAGAAAGGTTTAAAGAAACCTTCATAAAAGAGGACATCCAAATGGCAAACAAGCCTGTAAAAAGATGCTCACTTTCATTAGTCATCAGGAAATACAAGCGAAAACCACAATGTAATACCACTCCCTCCCACCAGAATGGCTAAAACAGACAATAGCAAATGTCAACAAGGATGTGCAGCAACCCAAACTCTCACACATTGCTCGTGGGTGTATAAAACAGAACAATTCCTTGGAATAATGTTTGGCAGCATCTAGCAAAATGAATGTGTGCATACCCAATGACTCAGCAGTTCCACTCCCAAATGTATTCACCCAACAGAATTACATACATGCAATGTTCATAACCAAAGACTGGAAACAGTATAGCTTTCTATCAACATCAGAATAGATAAGCAAATTGTTGATAATTACACAACTGGAATACCACATAGTAATAAAAATGAACAAACTATATACAGCATCATGGACAAAGCTCACTTATATCATGATGAACAAAAGAAACCAGACACAGAAAAGCATAAGTTACAAGAGTCCATTCACATGAAGTTCAAGAACAGGCAAAACAAATCATGTTGTTGGAAGTCACAATAGTGGTTACCCTTGAGGAGGTAGATTAATGAGTGGAAGGGGACACAAGTGGGGCTTTTTGTGATTCTGGTAATTTTTTTCTGAATCTAGGGGGTGGTCATATAGATGTCTTCACTTAGTGAAAATTCATTGAGCTGTATACTAATGATTATGCACTTTTCAGGATGTATGTTACACTTCAATAAAATTTACATTAAAAAGAAAAAACTGGTCAGAACCTGCTTTGGCTCCATATCTACATTTCAGACAGGAGAAAACAATTTATGGATGAGAATTGAGAAGCAGATGTTCTAATTTTCTCTCTCTCTCTTTTTAGAGATCTATTATTTACTGACTTATAATTTTCATGCAAAAAATTCACCAGTTTTAACTGTAGAATTTTATGAGTTTTGAAAAATGTGCAGCAGTTTACCCACCACAATGATGGGGTAGATTATTTCCATTACTGCAAAGTATTCCTGGTTCGTTCTCTATAGTCAGTCCCTTCTTCCTATGCCTGGTTACCACGATCTGCTTTCAAAACTTCACTATAGTTTTGCCATTTCTAGAATTTCATATAAGTGGGTCATAGGACATCCTCCTTAAAGGATTTCTTTTAAACATGACCATGCACAGTGGGTTATAATCAGGTCCAACCGAGTGTATCACACAGCATTTATCCCCTAACACCACTCTACCTACCCTGGCAAAAGGCACAGGATCCTTCATGAATGTTCTATGTTACAATGAAATTGGCTGGTTGATAGCTGCGTACCCTACACTCAAAGAAAAATTATGGGACGGATGCCCCAGAAGACAGAACTAAGACTGAGGGAGCAGTGGCATGGGAGGCTATCGGCAGCTTAACAGAAGAACAATTTCTCCCAAAGCCAGAGCTGATTAAACCCTGAAATGTGCTGAACTCAAAGCGAGTCAGCTTCCTGTTCAGAGTGGACAAAGAGAAAGTCAAAATGGCTAGCCATCCAGGTGTCAGAGAGGGCATCCAGGCAGGAAAGTGGACTCAATGGCTTTTAATGCCTAATCCAAATCTAACACCCTATTAGACCTAATTGGGCTCTAAAGCAAATCAGAAATATTTTTTTAACATCAAGTAGGATAAAGCAAAAGAAAACCTCATTGGTCAAAGGATATATTTTACAATAAGCCTAGAATCAATCTTCAGCTACTGGGAGGGGCTGTAACTCAAGACTAGAGAAGCTTATTGGAAGGAAACAAAAACATAAGAAACACTTATAATTAGAAGATAACGAACCAGTATTTTTTTTTCTTCATCAATTCTGTTAATGCCTTCAGGTTGTGAATTTAAGGAGGAAGTAGAAGAGATATTTTTCAAGGCAACATCTCAGTACTTGCTAAAACTCTAATTTCTCCTCTCCAGTTAACACAGTGGGTTTGGCAAACCCCACCCAATTCAATCCAGTGAACATTAGCTGGGCCTGCAAGGCACTCAGTTGAGCATTGCACAGGAAAGGGCATGAATGAGCTACAGTCTCTTCCTTCAAAGTACGATAAGCTTGTGCATGACCCCATCTCGGCCAGCTCAAGATGCTGTAATGGGGGGAAAGCACTAACTCCCACATGAGCAGAAAAGTTAAGGTTTGAGGGAGAATAGGCTGCTTATGCTGGACCGTAAAGAATAAACCGATGATCCATGATGAGATGCAACAGCATGGCATACTTTGGAGGATTTTCCAAAAGCCAGACCATTTGTTTATTTCTTGTTTAAATCTTTTTTGAGAACGAGTGGGCTTATCTGGAGATATTAATAGAAAATGTTGGCTTTGTCCATTTTCTTCAAGAGACACTTAGTAGAATTTCCTGAAAATAACAACAATAAGAAAATGAGCCAGAACTCTAAATAAATGGGTTCTATTTGTAAGATTACAAGATTTAGCTGAGCCTTGCTTTCATCATCTGAAAGATAAATGAGATTGTCCTAAATCAGCAGATTTCATTTGGACTGCAAGGAAACTCAAGAGTAAGGGGGAGCAGGGCGAAGACCCTCACACCCATTTCACCCACAGGGGCTCTACTTTTGTGTCTCAGTAGGGTTTCATTTGAATGAAGAGTTGTGCTACTTTAAAAAGTTAAAATGCAGGGCTCACTAAGTCAAGGGGGTTGTCCTGCATCCAGAGTCTGAGGCTTGTGTGATCTCCTCCACGTACAAGTTCAGAACATTCTGTGATTTAACGTATTTATTTTCATTCATTATGACATTGTTATATAACATTTCTTTTCTCTACTATTTTTCTATCCTCAGACTTAGAAGTTTTCTTCTTTTCTTTTTCTGCCTCATTTTTTCTCATATCATTTTTCTTTATTGTCCATTGTGCTTTCCCATTCACTTTCCTTCCTTTTCAGGTATGTGCATAGAAAAGTTAACACGGCAGGCCTGACACTGTTATCCTTAGAAAAATCTGCTTGCAGAACTGGTCTTTGGCTAATGTCTGAGAACTTAGATTTTGGGAGGGTATCCACCATTCCCTAAATGAAAAGAATGGATCCCCATGCTAAATTGTTTGTACAAACCATGCAGTGTATGCTTTCCTTCCGGAAGTCTAAAATTTTGGTACATGCTAGGCAGAGGGTTCCTAGGTGACTGTCCTCCAATAAAAGACCTTGGGCTTCTGGGCTCAGGCAAGTTCCCCTGGTAGACAGCATTTCATACCTGTTGGAAAAATTGAGTGCGTCCTGCATGACTCCACGGGGAGAGGACGCAGAAGCTTGGGTCTGGTTTCTTCCGGACTTTGTCCCACACACCTTTTCCCTTTGCTGATTTTGCTCCGTATCCTTTCACTGTAATAAATCACAGCTGTGAGAAATGGCAATGCAGCTCTTTCTTCAGGCCCTCCATGCCCTGGCCTTCTAGCCGAGATCTCCTGGCAGCTGTAACGTTAACCCTGTAAATGCTGAATTTGCCGCTTGGGATTTGAGTAAATTTGCAATGAGAAAAACACTATAGGCGACATCCTGTGAGTCTTGCTAGTGAATCATTGAATCTTTCGGTCGTCTTGGGGACCCCCTCCCCCAACCCTGCCCTGACACAGAGAGTCAGAGATGGGCTTCGCTAGAACAATCCTGACTCTGACATATGGTAAAAGCACTGTTTGGGTAAAGGAAGGATGAAGGGGCTGGAGAAAATGAAAGTTTGTTGTCAGGATGGCTGTGGGGACACTTGCTGATCTAAAACAGCAGCTGAGCTGCTGCCTATCGTGAGAGGGAAAAGTTGCCTATGGAATATAAATATGATTCTCCAACTCTGGGAGACTTGGCTTGCTGGCTCCCCTGGCTGCTTTTGTCAACACTGGCTAAAATGATGGGGGGAAAGTCCAGCCTGAGGGATGCCTTTGGTTTTATTCTCTCCTCTAGACGGGAAGAATAAGGGCCCAACTATTCCAAGAGGTGAGCTTTGGGTGGGCCAAAGTGGTTCAAAATTTGCATTTGTTTCTTCCTCCAAGTGGGAGTGAAAAGTCAGTTCCCAGGAGCAAGACTTTGGATAAACTAGAGAAAAAACAAAAGAGGCTGCAATGCAGGCATTTCTTGGGCCCGCATTCCCCTGTTGCAACGTTAACTCTGTAAATGCTCCTTTACTGCTTGGGATTTTGAGTGAATTTGCAATGAAAAAAAAAAAAGGGGGCGGGGAGGGGAGATTTTTAAAATGCCTTTGTATTTTGGGGCTATGGCATCTGGATATATGATAAAACTGAGGACAAGTGTTAAAGGCTTGTCATTTCATAAATGGTAGAGGAATCATCCTCGTCAGGAAAAACTACAAAAAAAAAAAAAAAAAGATTAGTGGGATACAACTTCTTTGCTTTTTTGCCACTGATAGCAAATTAGAATTTAAACTCTTTGGATATTAAAACAGAGCAAGTTTACTTACTGATGATTTTTACCATGATTTTGCCTATTGAAGCCTCTCGGAAAAGGCAATTGACCTGAAAAGAGAGGCGTTCATCAGCCGAAAACACACTTTTGGATTTTAAAAAGCAGTTTTCAGTAGCTAATGACTTAAATCATATCAGATCTTCGCTGCCGTTGCTCGTGCGCGTAGCTTCAGTGGCTCAATAACTCTCCACTCTTCTGCACACACCCTGTGAGGCGGTTTTGTTATTAGACGAAGTCCGCTCCAGAAAAGGCTACTCTCTGGATCAAAGACCAGATGAAAGGGATGGGGTGGGGAGTGCGTATGTAAACCCATTGTGAAAGTTATTAAAAATTTAGGATTTCATCCCAACTCATTCCTGAACATGGTTATCTTTGGTTCAGTTGTGTAAACACGCCTTCTTGTCAGAAGGCTCTTGACTTTTGTGCCTACAACACTTCCGGGTGAAAGTTTTAAATGACCATAGGTGATGATTTTAAATGATAAAGCTCTGGTTGCTAAATGGGACACAATGAGTTTGAAACAAGAGAACAACAAAAAACCCTGGCAGTTAGGGAGGCTGAGGAGTGGGGAAGGGGGGGTGGGGGTACTCATGCTCTGTTTTTCAAAATTGTCTCTGGAAGCTTCCCCTCTTCCCCTTGTCTCAGGAAGACTCCCCAGCTGAGCCGCCTTTCCAAGCTGCTGGGAAGCTTTCAACTCAAACCCACCGCTGAGCCTCTGATCACACCTGACAGTTGTGACTACAGGACAGCAGGCAGGAGCCCAGCTCTTACACTTCCCACAAAGAACACCACCAGATGCCTCCACACTGGGAGGCGGATGAACTTAGTGTCACAGACAAGCCAGCTGTTTGTAACCGACAGCCTCGGGCAGTCCCTCCGAATGCAAGGACTGAACTGAATTAACGGCAAGGAACTGGAAGCCTGTGGAGGGAGTCCCCACCCTATGATGGGATTGAACACTGGGGGGCCTGTTACCTGTACTGCCTGTCTAATGTCTGTCCTGCTCAGAGTGTCTCAGTAACTGTCAACTCTTTGTTTCCAGGGATCCTGCGTGTGTCCTCAGGATTGCACTTCTCACCCAGGAAGCCATCAGTCAGCTACAACTTAATGCCCAGAGACATGCTGTACCTCAGCTAACGCCTCAGGCCAGTATAAAAGGCTCACACTAAAACATAAGGTGAAAACCACCTGGCTTTCTAAGACAGAACTTTATGGTTACTGGCCTTTGTTTTAACTGGCTAAGTCCAGAACCGCAAAAGGGCATGACCAAGGTCAGTCCTGCAGGGTGGTCTCACCCTACTGCGTGCGCTCCTTTCGCTCTAGTGTGTCTTGGCCAAGGGCCGAGGGGGTGGACTGTGCAGAAAAGAGTGAACGCAGCAGGTCTGAGACTGACACTTTTAGAAAGACCTGCTGGCAAGTTTGGCCTTTGGCTGGCATTTGGGAACATGGATTTCGAAAGGGTTCTCGCCATTCCTGAAATGATGAGTGGCTGACAGTGCTAAGCTAGCTGTTTGTACCAACAATGTGTTTTATGCTGAACATCCACTTTCCTTATGGGAGTTGGGAATTTTGATACGGGCTAGGCAAAAGGCGATTCAAATTGAGGCCGAAACATCGTTGGAGGCAAAAATGACGAACGTGAAATGATCCTACTTCAGGCACATCATGAGAAGGCAGGGTTCTTTGGAAAAGGCAATAAATGCTGGAAAAAGTAGAAGGCAGCAGGAAAAGAGGGATCCCGAACATGAGATGGATTGACTAAGAAAACCTGTAAGCAGGAGTCTACAGGGGCTGAGCAGAGCTTTTGAGAACGGGATGTTGTGGACACCACTCATTCACGGGGTGGCCAGGAGTCGGAGTCGACTCCTGGGCACATAACACACACGCAGGAAGAGGGTGCTTACGTGATGACCCACGATATAAAACTTTGGACCCCTAGGCTTGAGTGAGTTTCCCTGGCAGCTAACGTTTCACAAGTTTCATCACGGTTTGTTGCTGGAGAAATAAGTGCGCCCTGTGTGACTCTGCTGGGAGGCTCAGTTAACACTCTTGAAAGCCTGAGCCCAGATTCCTTTGCTCTTTGCCCCACGTGCTTTTCCCTTTGCTGATCTTGCCTTGTGTCCTTTCACTGTAATAGATCATAGCTGTGAGTACGACTATACGCCAAGGTCTCGAACCTGGGCGTGGTTTTGGGGACACCCACACAGGATGGAAAAAGGACAAGAAGGATTAAAGAGACTTATAGGAAGAAAGAAGATCGCACAATCCAAGAAAATGGGGAAAAAAGGGACAACGAAAGGAAATGAGGGCAAGAACCAATATATTAGTAGAACTGAACTTGGTGGCTACTGGGGCCGTCGCACTCAATGCGAGTTCAAGGGTTCACAAAATTGTTGAAAGGACAGTCCTGAGATGACCCCTGGCACAGCACTACTGTTTCAAGGAATGAAACGACCAACACTTCCAACTCTACTGGAAAACATGGGCAGAAATTATAATAATCCTTTACAGGATGTACAAATATACAAGATTTGAAAACTCATCCATTTTGTTGAAATTTCATAGCCATTTTGTGAGGCAGGCTGGACAAAGATTATTATTATTCTTAATGCACAGAGCACTTAAAGGCCTCCTGTTCCTAGAGTCAAAATTAATTGCCTCATCTGTTTATGCTTGTTTGGTAAAACTTACCATGATCTACCATGTATGCTGGTTCATTGTGCACATCTATATCTTTCACTAGACTTTGATTTCCTTAAAGGGGCCTGTTCTGACTTTTTTTTTGTCTTGTCTTTTTTTGGGTGGAGGGAAAGGATAATCTTTTCTCATGATAAATTAATTGTGGGAAAAATAATAAAAATAAAACAAAATAAAAATTGCATGTGATCCCCATTTTATTCATCACTGTATCCCACAAGATCCAAGAATAATCTGGCATATAGTAGGTGTTCAATCAATAATTCATTGATCTGTTGTCAGCTAAAGGTTCTGGTTATGATAACACCTGCCTCACGGGGGCTGTCCAGAGGATTAAATGGGATCATGGATATAAGCGAACTTTGCAAACTGTGAAGCACTTTGTGGATCTAACATATAATTCAATCTAATTATAATTATGCATCCTCAACTCTATGTTCATTTAAAAATATAAGATGAGAAGATGACTGTGTTTTCCAAGTGAGCTATTGACCCATTGCTTATAGGGGTTTTGATTATATTATAGATAAAGGACCTGAAAGTCTGAGAGCCCCGAAGACTCACGCAAAGTTACACAGACTTGTTTGTACCTCTGTCCATCTGTGGTTTCCCTTCAGAAATAAGATTTGACTTTATAATTTGTTCTTACTTAATTTCTAAGTAATGCTGTAATGCTTTTAACATTATCAATAGTTTTTCCCTTGCTCTCTTCCTTTTTTGTTTTACTTATCAAAATCATCACAAACTCTTAACACACAAAAAAAGTCATACTATCTCTTTATAGGGAGGTGGAAAGAACATGAAAATCGGAATCAGACGGACGTGGGTTTGAATCTAGGCTCCGCTTCTTAGTAGCTGGATAACTTTGAGCAAAGGATTTAATTTCCAAGAGATTTATTGATCTGAAAAATGAAGACAATAATATCTACTTTCTAAAGTTATGAAGATTAAAGATAGTGTATGTGGAGTATCTAGCCCTAGGCTGGCACCTAATAGGCACTCTATTAAGATATCATTTATAGATGTTGAGTATCATTGTCATTGTCATTGTTACTATTATTAATAAGTTGAAACAGGAGAAAGAACAACACAAATTTTGGCTTGGAGAACCCTAGTGAAACTGGTCTAGCAGGTCACTTGTGAAACCAACCTCAAAAGGTTTTTCCCATAAGAGACCACAAAAATAAAATATTAAAGTCAGCAACTTCTAC